GGAAGGAGATCCCGCCACATCGGCCAGGCACAGGGAAGGCAGGGGTGCAATGTTCTCACCTCTCAGAATCCTAAATCACCTTTTATCGAAGCAAATATCTCCCTCTGCTTCTGGCCATTTGCATCGTGTTTCTTCTGGAGAATTGCACCGGAGGGCTTTGCCTGTGTCTAGAGGGTAGAGGACTTGCTGTTTTCGGCAGGTGCTCCCCGCTCTGAAGATGACTCTAGGGCAGGTTGGTGCAGAGGAGGCAATGAGAGACCAGGATCCAGGACTCTCATCCTGCTGACTTTCCACTTGAGGTTCTGAGAGGTGTAAGGAAAAACTCATACGATCGTGAGGGAAGTATCTAGATGAGCTTGTATCCCTTTTCTGTTCTTGAATTTCTTTTGGAACAGATGTGCTTCTGCTCTACCAGTTTCTAAAACAGTCATGCACACGCAAGAGTGCCAAGAGATTTAAGTGTCTAGTAATGCTGGTAACTTGGTATGGCTAAATTTGTGTCAGCAATTAGCTTCCGTAATAGGTTTTCCTGCGTATGTAATCGCTTGTGTGATTTATGTTCCCTGTGTTCATTTAGTCTGCACAGAATCCTGGCCGGGCTTTGCAAGTCTTAGTTCCTGCGTGTGCTGACTTATTTCAGGCTGCTGCTGGAAACATCCTGCAGCAGCAGCAGCAGCAGCAGCAGCAGCACAGGTCTGGCCGCAGTTCGAGGGATAGCCAGGGTGGTGATGGTGGGTTTTCTGCTCTTGCTGATGGTCTCGCTTTTCATGTTGGGTGGCATGTGGCAGGTTCCCTCTGTTAATTAGAACAAATGTGCCAATTATGTTAATGTATCTCCCGATACCAATCAGCGAATAATTAGAGACAACACATCTGTCTCTCACTGGGGAGAGGGATGACAGAAGAGACGCTACAAGGTATGTTGCTCTAAATTACAGCCGCCTCGGATCGTGTGCTTCCTCAGACGGTCGCGGGGACGGCGCAGTCTCGTGGCAGCCTTGCTGGACGTGTAGATCAGATCCAGCACGGCTGGCGGGAGCCCTGTGCCTCCCTGCTCTGCAAATTGCATCCAGAGCACTAAGGAGCCCTGACCAAAAGGTAGCTGACTTCGGGTGTGCTCCAGCTTCCCCAGTTGCTGCGAGTCAGGATTTCATTCACTGTGCTCGCACCTTTATGGAGGGGCCTTCTCTTGCTACTCAGTTTGCAAACATAACAAAAATACCTTCTTGAGTAGAAAACTTAAAAAAAAAAAAAAAAAAAAAGAAATGGGGCTTTCTTGCCTGCTTCCTTCCAGGGGGCTGGAATGTAAGAAGAAACAGTTGCACACTGTTGTAATTCTCCATAGCTGTCATCTGCACAAGGCAACACTTACCCCATCCTTCATGGCAGTATTGTTGCCAATTAAATGATTTCTGTTATGATAAGGAAAAACTGGTGCACAGGCTTTTCCTACATATATGCATAACTATCTGTACAGTTATTAAAAACAGTTGGAGGGATGTGCCTGGTTTAATTGAACAAATAGAGCTAGGTACCTGTTCAAGAACTGTAGTATCTATAGCCAGTAAATACACATTCTCAATATTTAGGCAAAAGCAAACATTTACTCCAGAAACATCTTCTCCAGCGAGTTGAAAAATGGAGCCATGAAGGTGTGATTTGGTATGACCCTGAATACAGGCATCTTGCACGCCTTGAAACACCCATGGGTATCCTGCTGCCCCTCTGTCCGCTCGCCCAGAGGGGTGCAGGTGTCTGTCACATAAATGTCCGGTGCTTCATCTGCCAGCATCTTATGCAAGCACGGTGGTTTCCCCAGGGCACCAGTCACTGTTATTCAGGCAGCAGAATTAAATTCATGATAAGACTGGATTAACAGCCTACTTCAGTGAGGGGGCTGCACCTTGGGGAACGACGTGGCATCAAAAGAGATTGTTGCTTTTAACTTCTGTAATAACAGTTTGCACACTTGTCATTCATAAATCACACTGTCTTGTTCTGCTTTGTTCTCTTCTCTTTTGTATTTGACACCCGATCTCTTCCTACTTACATGACAGAACAACCCTGATCCCACCCATTCTGGTTACCTCAGAAAAATAAATATGAGGTTTGAAGGTGCTGAGCACTGTAGTTACCTGCACCGGAAAAAAATGAGGATGTTCGTAATTGAAAATAAGTACCAATAAAAGTCTCATTTACATGTTGTTGTGTTTAATTAGTTACCATTTCTACAAGGACTGAAGGAGAAAACACAACCACTGGAGGGGTGTGTTCTCTTTTTTGTGTTGCTCTACTGATGGCTAAAAATTGCATGAAAGGAGACTCCTGACTCTTGTTAAATCATCCATCACTTCCTCCCTTCAGATTTGACGACATTATAGTTTGCAACGTGAACAGACTTGTGGCATCATAAAAACCTGGATGCCGGAAGAAGACTGAATTAGATATATTTAAGAGGTATCTTGTGAAAGAGGTGGGGTTTAGACATGCACACACAATACCAACATACTGGCAAAACAGATTTTTCAGAAAGAAAAGGCGTCCTGTTGTTCTGCAAACTTAATGTTTTATTGTTAGCAAATTCAACGAAACATTAGGTGAAAAAGATCTTTTTCCCAAGAGATTTGGTGAAGAGCCAGAGGCAGTATACTGAATTATACAGAGTATCTCTTTTTTTCTGATATTGGCAACAACTGATTTCATATAATCTTCGGTGTTTTTTGCAGGGAAGACAGGGAATTTAATGCTCATAGCTTTAATTTTGTCTAATCAGCCGAGACCCAGGCTGAATATGCATGTGTGTGTTTTTGTGGAGAGAGAAAGTGTTGCAGAGTACTAGAAAGAGAACTGCGTGCTTGAGCATGGAGCCTTGCATAGTGCCAAGGGCTGCTAGAGTATATGCTTGGATGGGCATACCAAAAACATTTTGGACTGAGCCTTTCTTAGATGATGTAGACTGTAGTCCTGTCCTCAGTGATGCCCCGATGCCCTCAGTGTGCAGAGCACAGGAGAAGTATAGGTGGTTTTGAAGGTGGTACATACACAACTGTGGCAGCATGTGTAGTACCTTTTAGAGTCCTGATGCAAATCTGTGCTCCATCCCAGAAAGAAATAATGGTATTAAAACCCAAGAAGCACATTTTGTTTGTGTGAGAGACAGAGGTGAAGTGGTAGCCTACCACTGATGGAGAGGTAAGGTCCTGGATTGTTTTTCAGTCTGGGATGCATGCACACTTGACCTGCAAATGAGGAAGGGGATAAATATTGCCATGGACCGAACAGGAATCTGGTCTGTCTTGGTTATACCTGATACCTATTAGGATTCGAGAAAGGAGGAACAACAATTTTAGTCATCCTGGCAAGGAAAACCGGGTTATTGGCTAAGAATTTCTATCTTCCATGGTAAAACATGAATGTTGTAGTGACACAAACACAGCCTCCAAAGTTTTATGTCTTTTTTCTTCCTTCCCTGTTCCTCACAGACACACATATCGATTTCCACAGCCCTTTTTGCACCACTGATCTTAAGCTATACAGTATCTGTAGTTGTGAGGCTACCACATACTGCAGCAATCTGCTGGGGAAGACGAGGGTTTAAATCAAGCCTTCCTCGGGGCAGTGGCTTCACACTGGCTAAGGGGTGTGTCTTTGGGAGCAGCTCACGCCTGAAGCACATCTGCTCAAACTGGGGTAGGGGAGATGGAGCTGCTTAAAGCAGATCTAAAGATGGGGAGTGGGCGATGGGCAGCTTGAATCCAAGCCCTCATGTGCTTGTGCTGGTCTTACAGTGTTGGACTGGCTCTGTCTGAGGATGAATCAAGCCCTCTGTGTTTAACACCAGGAGAGGCCATCAGTTTTCTCCTCACCGCTCAGGGCAGTCTGTACAGCTGTCTTAATGGGCGAGCAGGTTCTCTGTTAGTTTTGGGGTATGTCGATGCTCAGGCAGTTCCTCAAATGTCTTTGAAAAAGTGGGGTTTATGAGAGCAGGTCTTGGCAGTTAGCACCTCGTGGGTCTGGGGGGGTTGATTATGTTTTTCTTCCTTTAATTAAATCCTGGGCACAAGCTGATATGATCCCGTGACACGGAGGCCTGGCTTTGATCCATCCAGGGCCCCAGTCCTGTCCTTCAGAGCACGCTTGGTTTAAATGAAAACAAGCTACTAGATTTGCAGCCAAGTCATATTAGGGTGGCTTGCAGCAGTCAGCTGGGATATAATAGGGTGTTTCTTCAGGAAAGCAATAAAGAGAGCATTGTCTAGATTAAAAATCACATATGAAAATATTTTTCTGTGTAACGAAGGAAATTATGCTTTATTAAAATAAAATATAGCTTACATAAAGGAAAGGGAAAAATAAGCACTGATGTAGTCATCGTGATTCCCTATTTCCTTGGTAACTGTCTCTGTTTTGTTTAGTCCTGATTGCAGGAAAACAAAAACATGCATGTACATGTGAGTGCATGTATACTCAAAAACACTAGCGTGTTTTTAATTTGTTATTGTGATTTATTCTGGTATAGGGCTTCATTGTGTTAGACCCAGGGCAGGTACATACAAGGTTACTGCATTATTAACTCTGCTATTTTGGGGTTTCTGATGTTGTAAGGCAATTTTCTGTTTGTAGATATGATCCTAAGGTATCACCCCTTCCTTATCCTTTGCCTCAGACTCTGAAAGCATAGATCAACTATTTTTCTCTGTACAGTAGCTGGCAGCCTTTGAAAATGCATTGATATTTTCAAAACAAAGCAAGACAGCTGTTGTGTAGATGGGTGGGAGGGAAGGGGACCTGAAGGGAAGAGTAGGCATGAAGGGTGTTCTCCTGCATTTCTGCCATGGTGTTTTATTTCAGTTGGCAGCGTGCCTCAGGTAAGTCCTTCATGATGGGCCGTGTTTCCTTGTGCTTTCTGGGATGAGCGATATAATCACAGATACTGTGCTCATTGCGGTATGACCAGGCGCTAACTCACTGCCTCCCCTCTGGCCTTTTGAAACCCCAAGGTGGAGTGGCTGAAGAATGAAGAGGTGATTGATCCCGTGGAAGACCGAAATTTTTACATCACCATCGATCACAACCTGATCATTAAGCAAGCCCGGCTCTCTGACACGGCCAATTACACTTGTGTTGCCAAAAACATTGTGGCCAAAAGGAAAAGCACCACAGCGACTGTGATTGTCTATGGTAAGTGATGCCTTGTCCTGCTGCACGTGGATGGATATGAGCTCCCAGCGAGAGGTGGGGCAGGAGGGGGATGCGGAATGCCTGTGTGCAACTCTTACTGCAGTCAGTGACCAGGCTGGGCCGCCTGTGCTGCCTGTTGGCTTGCAGCCACATGCAGCGACTGCAGTCAGGGTCCGTCACCGAAAATACTCCCAAGTACAGGTCTGATGGCTTGGCTTATTGGTGACAGGCAACTGCATTAAAGGTGGAACAGGCACCTAACACAAACAGCCAGTTGCCTCACTGAGGAGAAGGTGGTTGCTCCCCTGGCTATAACGTGCTGGCTGGCTGCAGCAAAGAGCCATTAGGACACTTCTTTCATCAGGAGCATCCGAGGCATTGCTTTCTACCAACGCATTTCACATTCTTAGTGTCAGCTTTCAGAAATGAGAGCAAAACTGGAAGGAAGTTTGTGCTTCCAGATACTGGTAAGAATGTCAGAGCACAGCAGAATCTTCTATCTTCTTATATCTCTTTAAATAAACCTATTTTTGGTGTCTGCTACCAAAACATACTCTGAGTAGATAGCAAAGTAGCCATATAGTAAGTAGCAAAGCACTTTGGGACTGCAGTTCATAGGCACACAGCCTAGCTTGAAAAGCAACACCAGGGGAATACAAAGCATGGGATAACATTATTCTGTGTCTGCATCCGCAGCCTTGATCTAATATTGAGGTTGGACATGCTTTGGCTGGGGAGGGGCCAGACGAGGTGCCCTCCTGGGGACTCTTCCAGGCTGTGTTGTGCTGCAGCTCTGCCCCACCAGTCTGAGCCTTTGCCCCTGCAAAGTTACTGCCCCGATGCATCCCAGGCGGGGGGATCATCCAGAACAAAACCTGCTCTGACAATGTGCCAGCTGACTGTCCTGGTGTTCCTTACAATCAGCCTAATTATAGGATAGACAAGTAGGAAAAAATCCCTATGATTATCCCTAATATTCATTTCATATTCAGGGTAGCAGTTAGATTTAATTGTAAGCAGTTGCTTCCCTGAAGTTACAATGAGGGCCTTTTAGTTCAGTTTTTATAGAAAACCGACTGAATTGAGTTGATTATCAGTGTTTGTGATATTGAGGGATGGACCGTGCAAGAGCACTGTGTTTTGTATCTGCAATGAATGCAGAAACATAAAGATGTAGGCATACTGCAACCCTTCCTCATACATATACAGCATTTTTTTCAACAGTGCAGTCAAGAGATGTATGTAGGGGAGCAGCCGTTTTTATGGGGTTTACTACTAGAGCTGTTTAAGGGTTGTGTCCTATCACAGACATTTGGCTTTAGGGAATCTGAGCAGTTAGTATGTTATCCATACCCTGGCTAAGACATTATTACATAGAACAGCACAGCTCCTGATTCATCCATCCATCTATCCCAGAAACTGAGGTGAGTGAAAAAAAAGGTCAGCATAAATAACTTCCCAGAGATAAATATCTTCCCAAAGGCCAATAATAAAGACGCACTTAGTGTGAGCAGCTTAAATATCTGTTATGGAAGTGCTGAGACCTACATATGCACCAGCTATGTCCGCAGAGGGGAGAGTGAAGTTGTCCTGACATCCTGAAATCACCTGCTGGAAAGAAAGGGAAAGAAAATCACCAATTTCTAATCAAAGCACGGGGGCCTCTCAGCATGCATAGATGATGGGTACATCTGAGAACGAGCTGGAGTGCAGGTTACCTCCCTTTGAAGAATGGTGCAGCTTTTGGAGCGGAGGCTTCTGGCTGGCAGAGCTGTGAGTGCCCTCTGAACCCGCAGGGATTTTGGCTACAGACACACCACCAGATGCTTAGTGCTGGGTTGGGTCAGTTTTCAGGAGAAGGCAGGTCACCCGCCAGCAGTAATAGCCATCGAAGGAAGGGTGGTTTTCATTCAGCATCAGCGTTTCTTTGACTCGTGCGGTGACTCCTGGCACGCTGTACATTCGGTACGTTGGAGATGTGGGTTTGTGTCCACTCAGTGTTGCTTCTCGTGCTCTTCCCAGGCATTGCCTGTGGCTGCTGTTGGAGGCAGCACAACACAGAGCCTGAGGCACCTTTGGGCTGACCGGGATGGCTTGCGTACACGATCATACTCTTTCTCTCTTGCTTTTCAGTGAATGGAGGCTGGTCTACCTGGACTGAGTGGTCAGTGTGTAACAGCCGATGCGGGAGAGGCTTTCAGAAGCGTACGAGGACCTGCACCAATCCTGCCCCACTCAACGGTGGTGCCTTCTGCGAGGGCCAGAGTGTTCAGAAAATAGCTTGCACCACTCTGTGTCCAGGTTCAGTATGAACAGTACATAGCTCTAGATAAATAGTTTATCTGTCATCAATCATTTCGGGAGAAGACTATTATTTACATAAGCCTCCTTCTCTTTATTAATGTATCCAACATCTCAGCAAATGAATATTAAATTATATTACATAAGTGGATAAAATAGCGAGCCCATTATATCAAGCAGCAGGGATTTCGGACCCACTTTTACACACAGCTTGCACCAGTGTCTCAGCCCTGGTAATTCAGGGGATTTGGGGAACATTCAGAGCTTCAAATTGTAAGAGATAAAGGATGAAAACTCTGGAAGAGGACTAGAATTTGAATATAGAAAGCATTTGTGATATAAATACATCTGCAATGTCTGTTCAGTCCAGCTGTCACAGCAAGTGAAGCATCTGGGGTGTGGATGTTAAATTGAGGTACATGTTTACATAATGTCAAATACAGAGACGTTTATACTGCAAAGAGATGTATATCCATACCTTTGAAAGGTATTTAAATGTAAACTTTTGAAAAATGCAAAACTGCTTCAGGACACACAAGGTAATTGGTGGCTTTTCTGTGGCAAAGCTCTGCCGTCTGTCTTGTTGTTCAGTGCTTTCTTGCCTCTGCAGTCCCACTCAAATTGGTGGCAGTAAGGTCATCTTCAGCTTGTGAAGCTTGCCCATCCAACTTCAGCTCTTACTGGTGGGTAGAACTTGAAGACCTGAAATTTCATCTCTGGTCACTATTCCAAGTGATAGACTCCTGGGTCAGACTGTGTCACTGCAACAATTTCTTAGTTTGTTCTTCACCTGTTCAATTTAGTGCTTTTGAAAATAATTTGTGTGATTTTGAGCACTAAACACACTCCTTGTTCTGCTCATGTGAAATAGATTGGTGCCTCTAGATATTTCTTTTAATAGAAAATATTTAACATTAAATATCTTCCTACTAAAGAAGATTTTCTGGCCAAGTTTATCTTTAATCTCTGTGTTAAAAAATGCCCCCCTTCACCAAAAAAAAAAAAAAAAAATCACAGATTTCCGACTTGTTGCTCAATTTCTTGTATACTTTGAGCGCAGATAAACTGATGACAAATTTATAAAAATGGGAGGAAAGAGCAGAAATGGGGCCGGGGCAGAGAGAAGGGAGAGGGAGAAAGAATGTGCATTTACATGCCAGGAATAGAACTTTAAGAAGAGCAGTCTGACGATCTATCTGCCTTGCTGGGAATGGCCAGGAGTTGCAGGTTGGCTTGTGTCGAGGCGTGCATCGCTCTCGTTTGGTCTCACGTTCATGTAGTCCCTAACAAGTTGCCTCCTTTCCTCACCTCAGTGGACGGCAAGTGGACGTCCTGGAGCAAGTGGTCCACCTGCGGCACGGAGTGCACCCACTGGCGCCGGAGGGAGTGCACGGCCCCGGCGCCGAAGAACGGGGGGAAGGACTGCGAGGGGCTGGTGCTGCAGTCCAAGAACTGCACCGACGGGCTCTGCATGCAGGGTAAGTGCCGCTGGGACACCTCCGGGGTCTGGGATGTAAGTGGCCGCAGAAAAACCTGCAACAGGTGCAGATCGGTATCAATGACCTAAAACCACAGGATCGTTTGTAGGATGGAGAAATGAGTTAATCCAATTCTCACCAGTCTGGACACCCCGCTCTTCTTCCCTGAAGATGAATGTAATGCTGTCTGAGGTTTATGAAGTTGAGCAGTGAAGAATTAGGAAGTCTTGTAACACAGCCCTCTCCCCCTTGCCCTCCCCACCAAACAGCCCTTCTCTCTAATACCGGGTCAACATCTGCCCGGGGAAGCTTGGCAGTGACTCTCACAACAATGCAAATTAAAAGTAGATGCTTTAGGGCAAAGCCAGCGTTTTCAAATGAGTAAACCTGTCAAAGCAGCTCAGCTTGTGACTTCTTTCTGACAGGAGTGGTGGGTGCATGTTTCTACATAGAACAGTTATGCCCTTTTGAATTTGGGGTGTCCTGTAGTAGAAAGAGGTACCCTGTATTTATGCAGCGCCTATGCAAACTTCATGTATAGTTATCAGCATGCTGCAGCCTCATGACGATCAGTTCTAGTGCTGAAGTCTGTCCTGCCTGTGCCTGTTCACACCATGGTCCTGCCTTTGTGACTAATACGAGCAAGAAGTAAAAAAAAAAAAGTAGGCTTTTAGTGTGATTCTGACATCTGCTGATGAACAATTAGTCTTCTCTGCACCCCATCCCTTCTCAAAAATGAGGTCTTCTCTGTTCTGATGGTGCATTGAAACTTCCTTTCACATTTCGTTAGCACAATAACCTGAGCCAAAATCCTCATACACACCTCTCTCCTGATCCTTCATCCTGTCTCTCTGCAGTACTTCTCTGTCAAGCCTCAGCTCTCTGTTACCCAAATGGTTGTGGCTGTAACTATATGGTATCTATGTGACCAGATCATAAAATGCTTTTAGTTCTCTCATGAAAAAGAAGTCAGGAATTTTTATTCTCTGAGGCAGGCTACCTTTGGCTGAAATAGTCATGATGACAGAGAAGTGACACTACTAGCTAATAAATAGGTCTACTTCTTGAATAAGTGCCATATATGTGCCTACTGTGCTGGCAGCGAACTCTGAGCTACCTTATGGCACAGCATGGCCATGTGCTCTGAAGTTTCCCAGATTTACAAAACAGGCTTTCTTAGTGTGGCTCGCACAAGCACTTTCATCTCATTAAAAACTGTTAGCCAGTGTCAGCAGCCTATAAAGCTGTAATTCCTCAAAACATTTGTTTTTATGGGGAAGGCAGAAAGGCGAAATCTAGAGCTCCTCTCTTTTTCTTTTCTGAAGATAGAAAAAAAAAAAATAAATCCAGCCACGTCTCACTGTGTAACACCTTGGTGACTTTTATAGTGGGGAAACTACCCCTAGCTCCAGCAGTGTGAATAAGTCATTATGGTAAATTAGGAAGAAAAGATACGTTTCCCCATACAGAAGAGCTCTTCACTATCAGATTATATTTAGACAGGTGTATGTCATCTTTGTGTATGTGCATGAAGAGAGCCATTTAAGCAGAAATCTTGTGGAAAAGTAGATATAATGATATGGCAGAATAAAAGCCCTGTAGGGATCTCATTTATCTGTTGATGGTATATTACATTTTATTTGTGAAAGTGGATGCTGAGTAGAAAGCAGAGGTCTTCAGCAGAAGAGAGGGTGAGGCTGTTTTGAATCCTATTCTGATTCATGTGTATGTATATAAAAAATGGTAATGAAAAATATACAGTCACATATTGACCTGCTTGGCTCCAGGGGCTGAGTTATCCTTCAGTGTTGGAATTTAATGGCAGTGTTTTAATGGTGTCTTTATACTCGTGAGGTTTCATATACCTGTAAAACTTACAGTCCTGCTCCCTGCTCCATCATTGCTGAGAAGATTGATTTGCTGTACTTTGTGGCAGTGTGCCTGCTGCTCGCTCTCTCTCTTTCTTTATTTCTCCTTCTCAGTTTATGCAAAACCAATCTGAACACTTGCATTTTTGCTGGTGTGGATCTAGATTCATAGCAAATCTGCCTGCTGAGCTAGGAAGAAACGCAGGACTCCTTTCATTACTAAAACACCAAGCCTCTTTTCACATTATTTGAGGCTGGTGGGGACTGGCCTGAACTGACATTTCTCCTAGTCTGGGGACCTGTGGATCCACGGCAGACTTTTCCAACACCTTCATGCCAGTGGGTCTGGCATGGCACAGGTGGCATGGAGGGAGCCACAGCCACCTTCCCTCTGTGGCCATAGCACTCCTGGAGACGTGTTGGCCAGCTGCCTACCCGCACCATAGCCAAATACTGCTCCTAGGTGCCCTGGTGCTTCCTCCTTAGTGTCAGTCTTTAGTGAGAGCTTGAAGGTTGACTTTAGCACCATGAGAGTAGATGAGGTCAAAGAATTAGTAGACAGACTCTCTTACCAGGAGTCACTAGGCTGCTGCTTTGACAAAAACTCACTTGTAAATATGTATCTCTATATAGCTGTACATAAAAGATATCCTGGAAAATGTTGGATTGAATGAGTCTAATTTACAAGGTCTTTCCCTTCCAGTCTATTATTCACTTCAGTAGCATCAGCTGGATAAATCAATAAGCTCTTTCATCAGACTGCCCCTGCTCCAGCAAAGAGCAGCAGTCTGTACCGCTATCGATTTCTGTGGGGATAAAAACTGTGGAGCTTTCTCCATCCCTTGTAATTACAGTATTTTACACCCAAAGCTGTAGTTTGTGCTTACCACTAACTGTGGCATTTCTTGTGCAACTCTGCTGTCACATTTATTCAGACTAATGATCTTGCTAGTACACACATACACTCCCTTATCCAGTAGTTAGTATTTTTCTGTTAACGTGAAAGGATGAACAGTCATTAAACTAGAGAGCCTGCAGAGAGACAGCAGGCTGAATTGAAGAAGAAAAGCGGCTGTAGTGAAAATTTAAGATGGTCATTAGTATTTTAAGGTTCTAAATACACAATATTGCCTAGCAGATCCCATTATAACAATTTCATAATTCCTGTAATAGCATTAATATGATGTTCTGGAACAAAATATGCTGTAGGTCTAAGAAGAATTGGCTGGTTACCACCCACACTAGTTGCATTATTACCTCCATAGTTGCATTATTTCCCATTTGAAGTATGAGTACTGTGGTAAATACTTCAGAGCAAGGAATAACACTTTTAAAGGCACACACTGCATCTCACAGGGGATCACTATAAACTGAAACACTGCAATTAGCGCTCCACCCATCCCATCTAATGACTTTGGTGGGCGTTCTGTGTGAGGACTAAGAAAGCAGAGCGCTCCACTGCTGGCACAAACTTCAGCACAAGCTGTTCCCTTCACTAGATAACTAATATTTTTAAAGCAATGTACAAGGGGAAGTGTTTTACTGGGCCCAGTCTGGAATGACTCTGAGATCATGTGTGTGGTACCAAACAGATGCTAAAAAGTCCCTGGCAGGCCAAATTCTGCTTTGCGTTATGTGTAAAATGCTGCTGGTGATCAGGAAGAGGTGGACAACCTAGGAAGAAAGTTAGGTGTGTTAGATGGTTATGTTGAAGGCTCATTACATCAGTTGTGACGTGCAGCTGTCATGCTCAGAGCATGTCACCAGTGTCCTTTCTGTTGAGGATCTGAAGTGACAGTGTTCAGGTCTGTATTGTTCCTGTCCTGAATAGATAAGTACAGGAAGTCTGTAGGCGTGAGGTTGGTGCCTGCGCGTGCTGGTAGAGCTGTGGGTCTTTTCTGAAATGATGCCTGTGATGTGCAGTGTTGTCACTAGCACTGTCAGAGACAACCAGTGCCCATTCCTCAGCTCACTCTCGACTTACTACTGTGGCTTTTCACAAAAGGCTGGCTAAGTTGTGTTTGCAGTTTTTTCCAAAACACAGGGCTAGCTATTTTACAGCAGCAAGGTAATACTGAAGCACATGTTGTTGCTTAAGGACTATGGATTATATAGTTACATAAATAGTACTGATGCTCTGTGTAGTACAAACTGTTTGCTTTATACAGTCTCAAAATACAGAATACAGATCCACTACTGAATAGGGCCAAAAGGAAATTTCCACTTGGGAATCATTGCTAAGCATCATCAGATGCAGTGTGGACTTTTACTTTGTTGCTTTGGATTTAAATAAATGAGCATGGAAAGACTGAGACATGCTACTCTCACTTAAAGAACGGAAGAAAAGATTCAAAACATCTTTGCCTCTTGTTACAGACAACACTCTGGACTAACTCTCAGGTCACTTTGGTTCTCTCCTTGCATGTAGCTTAACTATGTGGAAATTCAAATAGCAGATGCACCACTTGAGAAAAAAGCACCTATACCATGGTGAAGGTGATATAATTATCAGAGTAGCAATTCTGTTCCGTGTTAAAAAAGGCTGCCTTCTAGTCGAGAGTGAATTGATGTGGAATGATGACAGCAAATCTATATTTGATAAGTGCTTTGAAATCCTTGTCTGAAAGGCATTATGAAGTTCACAAGATTCCCTCTTACAATGATGGTGCCTAAGCAAGTAAAAAAGATGCAGTTTGTCATGCTTGTCCACGAAATGGTTAACTGCTGCCCTTTTCCACTCTGGTGCCTGTTTATACACAGATCTCCAGTAGAAAGCAAGGTTAAGCTGATACTAACATCTCTTTCTTCCCAAAACATATATATTCTGCACATGCCCTGCTTGTTTAATGTAACATGCCAGAACCTCTGATGGAATAAGCATTCGTTTCCCTTTTTTGGCTTGTTTTGAAAGCGGGCATTGAGGGAAGAATTACAGGACAGAGCAGTTTGATGAGGACCTCTGGTCCTCCAGACCAGATTAGTGTGCGAAGAGCAGGGGAGTGTTTTCCAGGCTCCAGGAGGTAAGCAAAGCTCTCTCAGGGGAGACTGCAACAGAAGCCCATGTGTGCAGAGGAATGAAATAAAACCTTTTATTAAGAGCATGTGGGTCAAGAGAGAACTTCTAATATGTTT